CACCAAGTGGTGCAGAACCGACCAGTCTTCTTTTGAAGCGAACTGGTTTTACTGCATACTGTTAAATATTCAAATATATTTCAATTTTAATTCACCCTTAACAAACATGATAGCTATATTTAATGTACCTATATTAAGCACGGGTAGAAGAATGCTTGGCATTAAGTGGCAGGACAAGAACACAAACACTGAGATGTTGGAAACAGCAGGTATTACAACAGTTTTCTCAAGGCTCGGTCTAGGTGTGTCACGCCTGGAGAGTGGAAGATAGTAGAGTCCCTAAGGACATCCTATAGGGTGAACACCCCGATTGTGTGCATGCGATACATTCTTGCATTGTCGACTATTGCAGATAGGCTAAAAGTGCTGCAGGCTAAGTCATACCTCAGAGTGGCTGCAGATAAAAGATATAAAAAAAAACCCTATGTATGAAGCTTTGGGTGCAGTTAAGCGTCAGAGGTTAAATAGGGGGAAATCGTGAAAGGCTCAAGCAGAAGACGCAATAAGACAAGTATGCATGCTGAAGAACATTGGGCGAGGAGAAGAGTGGGTCAAAGTTCCAGAGGAAAAGTCCGGTGTATGTATGTAGTGTCATGATTACTAGACCAATTGGTCAATTGAATATAGATCCAGCCCTATATGCCCAATACGCCTGACGACGGGGAAAGAGGTTCTTTTACCGTTACATGCCAGTGGCGCAACGGGACGTAAAAGGCTAGAGGCAACGCGTGGCCGGGTACAGCTAGACTGGGTGATGCAGTCAACATCATGCCGACCGCCTTTACTTCCCATAACCTTATCTTAGCACCCATATAATGCCGGGGTGACCTGGAAGCCAAAAGAAATAAGTCCGGCTCGGTTAGGACCTAAACCCACTATTTTCCGATTCGTAAGTGAACGTCTAGCCTCTAAACCACGTGGGTTTCCCGTGTAAAGGTATCTACATCCTTTTCCTCACAGTCTTTGCTCGCGCGGCACTGTAGATTACATAGGGCTGGCGACCGCGTTGTTCTTAAAATCCATCCACAACCTTTCAGTCTCGTGTATTTTCAGTCAACTCTGACACAGATGATCTTCCATAGTCCATGCCATGTGGCGTTGGTGGTCATGTCTATCTACAACCTTCTGTCTCGTGTATTTTCAATCAACTGTGACACAGATGATCTTCCATAGTCCATGCCATGTGGCGTTGGTGGTCATGTCTATCTACAACCTTCTGTCTCGTGTATTTTCAATCAACTGTGACACAGATGATCTCCCATAGTCCATGCCGTGTGGCGTTGGTAGGCATGTCTATCTACAACCTTCTGTCTCGTGTATTTTTAATCAACTCTGATACAGATGATCTTACGTAGTCCATGCCGTGTGGTGTTGGTAGTCATGTTTATCCACAACCTTCTGTGTCGTGTAATTTTCTATCAACTCTGACACGTGATCTTCCGTAGTCCATGCCGTGTGGTGTTGGTAGTCATGTTTATCCACAACCTTCTGTGTCGTGTAATTTTCTATCAACTCTGACACATGATCTTCCGTAGTCCATGCCGTGTGGCATTTGTAGTCATGTCTATCCACAACCTTCTGTCTCGTGTATTTTCAGTCAACTCTCCTCACCTCCAACTTTGCTACTGTCACGATGTACTCAAGTTTTCTTCTTCTCATCACACGACCAAAGAACGTAGATTGACTCTTTCACATGGGGGCAATCAATTCTCTTCGTGGGTCAGTTTCTTTCAAGACGTCTTCATCACTCTTATCTACCCAGGGCAGTGGCTTTCAAACGTTCTAATGCCGCGACTCTTTAATACAGTTCCTTCATATTGTGGCGACCATAATCTCAATTCCCTGTATGGATTCAGGGCCCCCTTTGTGGGGGAAACAAGAATAGACCCACGGCCTGCCCATAGTATGTCGTAAGAACCGACTGTATAGGAGCTTGCTCCGAAGTCCGAGTACATCTGTCTGAGAGGCAGGGAACCAACAGCCTGTATGCAGATTAGTCGGATCTGTGAAACGAATGCGCGCGCAACGCTCAATTTCTGGAACAGGACTAAAGTTCAGAAGTGCACGAACATTCAGAACTTTCCGCCGGACAGTAAAGCCAATGAACGTACAGAAGAAGCTAATCTCAGTGAGTCAAACCTGCAGTTTGCTGCGCCCGCCCCCCCCCCCACACACACACACACACACCACTGTATACAACCAGAAAGAAAGCAATAATAATAATAATAATTATAATAATAACAACAATAATAATCATCATCATCATATAAATCATATATATAGCCCTAGTGTATTTTGAAGCTGAAATTAATAAAAGACCAAGTTTTATTTTGTGAGAAACTTGGTAGGTAGATCCCTGAATTTATAGGCCAACTGGCAGTCGATGTGTGATGTGGCAACTTTTTTTCCCATGACATTTCCATGTGCCAATTTAAGGCTGGGTTGACAATAGGGTCGTTTATTTATATACACATCACAACTCCGTGCATTGGGATGGGAGGAGTGTATTTTAGAACAGAAGGACGAGATAGAAGGGGACATAGTCCATGAAGAAAGATCCTCCAAGAATAAAAAGTGGTTATCCTACCTTTGCGAAATGTCACCAAGGGCCGCAATCGAAGCTGCTGCTTGTTCTTGTTCTTCTTGTTATTTTTCTTCTTCTTCTTTCTTCTTGTTCTTCTTCTGCGTTCGCATTAAAAGGACAGTTGGCAAGATGTCTCTTTCAGCTAGGTTGCGAGATCTGCGCTTTTCTAACTATTTGTCGGTCAATCTATCTATCTATCTATCTATCTATCTATCTATCTATCTATCTATCTATCTATCTATCTATCTATCTATCTATCTATCTGTCTGTCTGTCTGTCTGTCTGTCTGTCTGTCTGTCTGTCTGTCTGTCTGTCTGTCTGTCTGTCTGTCTGTCTGTCTGTCTGTCTGTCTGTCTGTCTGTCTGTCTGTCTGTCTGTCTATCTATCTATCTATCTATCTATCTATCTATCTATCTATCTATCTATCTATCTATCTATCTATCTATCTATCTATCTATCTATCTATCTATCTATCTATCTATCTATCTATCTATCTATCTATCTATCTATCTATCTATCTATCTATCTATCTATCTATCTATCTATCTATCTATCTATCTATCTATCTATCTATCTGTCTAACTGTCTGTCTGTCTGTCTGTCTGTCTGTCTGTCTGTCTGTCTGTCTGTCTGTCTGTCTGTCTGTCTGTCTGTCTGTCTAAATGGTAATATCATGAAAGGGTCAAGTAGAAAGCAATTGATGTCACTAATGGCAAAAGATTTTTAACAAAAAGTGAAATATCGCAGTATGTGAACATAGTTTTAATACACGCAAGCAAACGTTTCCACCAAGATTTTTTTATTTTTTTTAAATTTTCTTTCTCTTTTGAATTCAACGGCCAACTCAATAACAAAAATGTTAATTAAAAACGAGCATACAAATAACAGAAAAAAATGACACACAATGTCTTTCTGTCCGTCTATCTTTCTGTCTGTTGACATAAATAAACATATTACATTCTCTTAGACTTATTTCTTCAACGGTTACTAGAATGACGGCTTTTTTTTTCCTTAGTAAAGAATGTGGCGGTACTTATCACAAACTGTCGCCCGGCTCTCTAGCGAAGTTGGTTAAACCTGACTTTCGCGTACCTATAATGGAATCAATGCCGAAGGGTTGCGATATCCATAGTACCGAGCCAAAGGGTTTACAACTCATGGTTTCTGGATACGTTAAAAAAAAAAAAAAATCACAAACTGTCTAGTACAGTAGCACTGAAAAAGTGGTGGCCACAAAAGTGCAAGTATTCTTACTGCCATACACGGTGTGGAAAAATAGATTGGTGATATTTGGACTCTGTTGAGCTGTAGGCATCAATTCCGGTAACTCTGTGACGCAATTATGGTGTTCATTGATCTTTCTGCAGCAAGGTGCTGTCGTCGTTTAGAGCTGGTTGGTCTGATTTCCTGTATGGTAATTATAGCCTTATGTTTTAATATTGTCCAATGTGTCCTCCTATGAGTGCTAATCAATGCTTGTTGTGGGTTTATTGTATACATTACACTTGGGAGGCTGCTGCTCAAGATTGGAGTATATGGCGAACGTCTGTCTAGAGATAGACGTTAGAACTGTTTACACCTAGGTGCCTCATTCTCCTCAAGCCATATTAATCTTGTTTCTATACTAATTCCATTGCTTGTTCTCAAAGGACCTTGACCACATCTGCCTTGTCATATATCAGTTCACCGCCTAGTGGTGGAGATCCAGCCAGTATGTCTGGCTGTTCATTACTGACTACGCCGGCATGGCGTGGAGAAAAGATCTAAAGCATGCTCACTACCCGTGACCTTCCTAGTAAAGCTTGTCACTCTGCTCGAAGCATGCGTCTTCACCTTTCTCCTCAGCATGCATGTTACAATTACGACATGTGTAGTGTCAGCAAAAAGTTGACAGCGTTGAACCAAAGCCGTCTCCATCATGTTGGAGACGGCCTTGGCTGGACGTTTGTCATGGACGAACAACACACCAAGTGAGTTAAGTGATAAAGTACACCAACAATGGAAACCACCTAGTCTTGAAATAGAAAAGTTCCATGATTCAAACGTCGTCACATGTGAGCCGTCTTCTAAATATAGTTCCACCGCAAGGTCACCGGTCATGCGCAGACGCCACGGGAAATCCCCGCGGAAACCCACCTTCTTCGCCCATTGGACTTCATCGGTCACGTGATTCGGGACTTTCCCAGGGAGTTGCGTTTTTTTCCAGAAATTCGCCTTTCCGACATGTGAAACTTATGTGAAATTATGTTTTGTGTGATTTTTCATATGGCGTAATGTCTACATGATCTTCTTGAATGCATCGATGACGGTTATTTGATTTGAAATAGTCGCATTGTTCATCAAAACAGATTCCAAAATGGAGGACTCCATAACGACCTAGTTGTAGTTTTGTGGTTTTGTCTTCCAGCTCGACAACATGGACGAAAAAGAGCAGGCGGATCGCTTGGCGGCCGCGGAGGCTTTATATATGATATCCACCCGTGTTGACAAAAGCGGTGGGGTAGAAAAGTCCCCAAGGATAAGTAGGAAAAAGAGGAATAATGATCATGTTGAAGAGAGGTCGGGGAAGAGGAAAGTTGTGGGTAATGATGGCGAACGTGCAGGAAGAGGTAGGAGAGGCCGAACTCGTAGTAATAGTGGAGGTGGTGGTACAAGAGGGGTTGGTGAAAATCGAGGAAGTGGTAGTGCTGGTTCTAGAGGACGTGGTGGAAGAGGTGGTGGTTCTAGCCCTAAAGGCAGAGGAGCAGCTGGAAAAGCTGTGAAAAGTCAACAGAGACAAATTGTTAGTGAAAGTGAAGCTATTATTAGTACCCATGAGACCTTTAAAGGACACAACAATAACAATGGCAGATGCAACAAACACACTGTAATAATAAGCGAAAATATACTGCCACAGAGCCACAACGATCAGTTAAAGCAGAAATCCAAAGGAAGAACTCAAAAAGTCAGACAGAAAACAAAATCAAAACCACCACCCATTGCTTATGTGGGTTACTCACAAGTGAAGGATGATAATATTGGCAAAGTACATCAGGCTATTGGCTTGACAGGTGCTGCAATTTCTTTGAATGATCCCTTATCCAGCCGAAGTTCCTTTGAATCTTCCCAGGCTTTGCAAAGTCATGGCCTTGTTTCGGGTTTAAAACAGGTAACACTGCACTGCAAACTGAATAATTAACCCCTTTTTAGCATTAGTTCCAGCCTTGCGAGTGTGGTGCAGTTGTAAGTCATGTTTAAGCTTCTGCCTTATGCACTTTCAGTCAGTTCTGACGTATGGATGATCTTCTGTAGTCCATGATGTCAGACTGTCATCAAGCATCTTCTCTCTCAGCCTCCCTCTGCTTCTTTTGCCTTCCAACTTTCTCACCATCATGATGCACTTCAGTTTTGTCCTTCCCATGACCAGAGAGTGTAAATTAATTTCTGATGTGGGTGCAGTCAGTTGTCTTTTTGAGTTAAATTCATTCACATCTATCCAGGCTATTCTGATAATTCGTCTTTAAAACCTTATTTTTGTCGCTTCCTTATAATTTTTTTTTGTTTGTTGTTAAACTGATTGGCAAAAGGTCTGTGGTTCATTTCCATATTGGATGTAGATAGTTCTTGAGAATATTTTTCTCATCTCAGTTGAAAAAGAAAATAATCTTCATTTTGTGAAATGCTGTCTTTGCTTAAGCCAGTGATTCCCAAACTGTACCACGGCGCCCCAGGGAGCCGCGACCTATTCACAGGGACACAGTGAAATATTTGAAGAAATGCACGTTTTTTTAAATTTTTTACATACAAATAGTCATACTTTTACTTAGGTTAGGGCGCCATGGAAAAAAAATGTGGCTATCCTACGAATTATGGTCCTAAATTATCGAGCCGGAAAATATACCCTAACAGGGCCTCAGTCACGTGTCAATTGCGCACTTCCGTCGTCTTAAATTGCGCACTCCTGGTGACTTCCGGGGCTAAATTAGATGGCTAGGACTCAGGAGCAGCAGCTACCGCATTTCCTGCAGCTTCCTTCGTTTTATTTGCTTTTGAGTCCTAGCCATCTAGTTTAGCCCCAATCCACGCTGCGTGGGGGATACTCTCGGCGGTGCCCGAAGTTTGCAATTTGGTGGTGGCGTTATAGTCCCCAGAAGTATGTAATTGACACGTGACTAAGGAAAGTTTGTGAAAAACTGGCTTAAGCCATTCTCCAAGAGCTACATTAGGCTTCTTCAATAGTTCTTCCATCTGATATTATCAGGGTATCCAAATGCTTAAACTTATCAAACTACCTTGATGACTGTCCCATTTCTTTTGATTTTGCAATTTGGAGGGTCCGTTTTCTTTGTAATTACCATAACTTTAGTTTTTCTGCTGTTCAAACTAACACACTTGTTTTGATTAACCCAGGTTGTGTTGACTGTCATACAACGAAACATTAAGCAAAATATTTTCTTGTCACCTGACCAGTCTTTATTAGTAAGCATCTGTTGTAATTTCTTTATTAATTACTGCAATAAAACAATATATATACACACAAGCAATTTTCGGCACTACTTCACGCAGCGACAAAAATATATTTAAGTTAATAATACTTTTTAAATGCCGACCCTAGGTCGCATAATTATAATAGTCTGTAATATTTAACTTTGCTTCCAGTTAGGGTTAGAGTTAGGGCAAACCTTAATCATAATCGGAAGCAATTTTTAAAATTACAGAAGAATATTATGTGAATATCCACAAACAATAGATTCTGTCCCTTACGGTCGCTGTAAACAAACAAAAGGCTTAGGATCTCTGTTTAAAGAAGGACCCAGTTTTCTTGCCCATATCTATACCAGTAAATTGCTCATTCCTTTGTTAATTACCTAAAATAAAAATAATGTATGTTATTTTCCTGTCTTTGTTCTATACCAGTAAACTATTGAATATTACTGGTGGTTTCTGTGGTGAATAAAACCCCAGTAAGACAAGAATTGATGAGAGAGGATAAATATGCAAGACTGATTCCATCCACGATAATGAAAGAATTAGGTACTTTATTAATATCCTACCCCAGATGACAGTCCAACATTTTAGAGGGTGTAAGACTGGGTTCCCGGGCTTTCTGATACTTTTAACAACCCCAAAACACCTAGAACTAACTCTAACCTCAACCCACCTATGTCCCATGAGAGTGTAGCCTAAGTCCCACGACTGATCTACCATTCGCTGAAATATTATAATGTCCCTTGACCTGTGCAATTTCCTTGTTTGGGGTAGGATATTAATATAGCACCAACAATTGCACAGAATGTAATAGCATGGAAGAATAAACTGTGAGCCCTGTGTCACAATAAACTGTGAACCCTGTGTCACAATAGACTGTGAGCCCTGTGTCACAATAAAATGTGAGCCCTGTGTCACAATAAACTGTGAGCCCTGTGTCACAATAGACTGTGAGTCCTGTGTCACAATAGACTGTGAGTCCTGTGTCACAATAAACTGTGATCCCTGTGTCACAATAGACTGTGAGTCCTGTGTCACAATAGACTGTGAGCCCTGTGTCACAATAGACTGTGATCCCTGTGTCACAATAAACTGTGATCCCTGTGTCACAATAGACTGTGAGCCCTGTGTCACAATAGACTGTGAGCCCTGTGTCACAATAGACTGTGAGTCCTGTGTCACAATAGAATGTGATCCCTGTGTCACAATAGACCGTGAGTCCTGTGTCACAATAGACTGTGAGCCCTGTGTCACAATAGACTGTGAGCCCTGTGTCACAATAGACTGTGAGCCCTGTGTCACAATAGACTGTGAGCCCTGTGTCACAATAGACTGTGAGCCCTGTGTCACAATAGACTGTGATCCCTGTGTCACAATAGACTGTGAGCCCTGTGTCACAATAAACTGTGAGCTCTGTGTCACAATAAACTGTGAACCCTGTGTCACAAACAATAAACTGTGACGCCTGTGTCACAATAAACTGTGAGTCCTGTGTCACAATAAACTGTGAGCCCTTTGTCACAATACACAGTGAACCCTGTGTCACAATAAACTGAGCCCTGTGTCACAATAAACTGTGAGCCCTTTGTCACAATACACAGTGAACCCTGTGTCACAATAAACTGTGAGCCCTGAGTCACAATACACAGTGAACCCTGTGTCACAATAAACTGTGAGCCCTGAGTCACAATAAACTGTTAACCCTGTGTCACAATAAACTGTGAGCTCTGTGTCACAATAAACTGTGAGCCCTGTGTCACAATAGACTGTGAACCCTGTGTCACAATAGACTGTGATCCCTGTGTCACAATAGACTGTGAGCCCTGTGTCACAATACACAGTGAACCCTGTGTCACAATACACAGTGAACCCTGTGTCACAATAGACTGTGAGCCCTGTGTCACAATAAACTGTGAGCCCTGTGTCACAATAAACTGTGAGCCCTGTGTCACAATAAACTGAACCCTGTGTCACAATAAACTGAGCCCTGTGTCACAATAGACTGTGAACCCTGTGTCACAATAAACTGTAAGCCCTGTGTCACAATAAACTGTGATCCCTGTATCACATATAATGGGACATCATCATGTGCCCTGCTGACTGGCATACAGGCGGTTCGTGCATCTCCACAGTTCTCGGTCCACTATCCTCTGGACCATTTCCACGGATGATATCCCTCCTGGCCACCGTCACAATCCATCATTGAAAATCTCTCTCTGTCTGCCTCTGCCTCTTCTGCCATTAAGAGCACGGGACAGCAGGACAGTAGTGATGGTTATCTGGTGAAATGGCTTCGGTGTTGGTCACATGCTAACTAAGGTTGTGGACTCAGTTTCTGACTCTGCACGTCTTGCCTCTCAGGCAGATGCACTCCGACTTCGAAGAAAGCTCCCAATTAGTCAACTCTTACGACATGCTTTTGGGTTGGCAGTGGGTCTATTCTTGTTTTACCTGTAACAGGACCCCGGAACCCACACTGGGACCCACTTGGATGAAATTAAAGGTTGAACTTGAGAGGATTGACTCCATTGCAGCGAGCTGGGTTTTATCCCCTATGGCTTGATCTCGCTCCACAGAATAGCTAACCACCTGTCAAAAGCGTCGCACAAGGCATGACCACCGTAGCTCCAACGACTATTCCCAGAGTTCTCTGTTAAAGATCCAGAACAATAGAGCCGTTTAACGAACCCATGACCTTTATAGCAATGACTTAACCACTTTGCCATTGAGGACCCCTCCCTTCACCACTTGGATAAGACTTATCACAGTGAAGTTAGTTCTTTTATCTTTAAAAAAAAAATTACTTGCCCATCCTTTACAGGATATTGGGTGCTTTATTAATATCCTACCCCAAACAGGGGAAATTCACAGGTTACGGGACAATCTAATATTTCAGGGGTTGGTAGATAGGCTGCATGCAGTCGTGGGACCTAGGCTGCACTCTCTTGTGTGGCGAAGGTGGGTTAGGGTTAGGGCCAATTCTAGAAGTTTTGGTGTTGTTAAATGCATCAGAAAGCCAGGAAACCCAGTCTTACCACCCTCTAAAATGTTGGACTGCCCTGTGACGTCATCTGGGGTAAGATAATAATAAAGAACTGGTTATTGCAGAACCAGCGCCAGTCTTGTTTGGCATTTTGGTTTTACTTGAAAGTTTTACATTTTCTGTTGGCTTGTGGATTGTCAATGCTCATTCTGCTGTAAAAATCATTGCAAAGTGATGCAGTCTGCTGCCAAATCGTCTGCTGCCAGAATTAAGCCATATATTAGGGAATTACAAATCATGTTCACAATGCTTAAGCCACTGTAGGTCCTGGAGTCCCACTGTGGGGAACAGAGAATAGACCCCTAACAAGCATGTCATTAAAGTTGACTAATTATGGTTTGTCCTTTGAAGTTAGAGTGCATCTCCCTGAGAGGCGAGGAATTGACAGTCTGCCTACAAATAAACCAGATCTGTAAAACAGATATGTATGCAAAACTCTGGTTCTGGATGAGACCAAAGTCCAGGAGTGGCAAATGACCAGAACTTTCCACTGAAGTTTACACCCAGTGAACTCTAAGGAGATGAAGAAGATTGGATAGGTTCCCTGGAAGAGTATTGCATGTCAACTGAAACTAATAAACTTACAGAATGAGTAAGCTACACATCGGAATGATACCTTTGTGACACAAGTGAGTTTTTGGGTCAGGGTTAAGTTAGTCTCCCCAAACAAAGTAGGTCATGTTTCATTCACAAGTTGGTTGTGCTGGTCTACTTTCCTGGAGGTTACTGGTGTGCCGCTCTGTTGTTTGTTTTCTGGGTTGTCTTGCATTTGCGTTTTTATTCCAAAAAGAATGCCTGAGACATAGGTTGCAGTACTCTCTATAGGAGTTGTGTTGGACCCAGTTTGTCCATGTTAAAAGTGCTGGTGTGCTGAAATATACAACATACAATATCAACAGCATTGAGGAAAACCCCCGTAACCTTGTGTTATCCTGCACAAGGTCTACCAATCAGAAGTGAGCTAGTGTGTATATGGGCGGGATCTGGGGAGTGAAACATTATTTTTACTGTTTTTTGAATTGATTCTTCTGTTTTTTTATTTTGTACTTGGCATCTTTGTTTATTTTGTATAGGTCACTTTGACATCACACACACTCTCATCGACAACACAGATGTTTGGCTTATCCTCCATGAACTTGGCTTCCTTCACGCCAGACGTTAACCTTCCGTCGATTCCCCTAGAAATCGGCTCACTACAACTCTCTTCCCAGCCAACACCGAACTTGTCCTCGCTTGGAGACTTGGGCGAGGGGGTTTTAGAAGATGAATACTCGTTTGCTAACAGGTTTGGAATTTCTTGTGTGTGTCAATTGTTCAGCAACAGTGAAGTTTCTTGAACAAAGAATAAACGAACAAAAGAGTTTACAATTTATTGCCTGGCATATTTCGTTATACCTTGTCAGGTGCATAGTACACTAACAGTTGATTAAAATGAAGCAAAAAAATGAATCATTCAAACTGGAACACAAAATTGACTATATTTTTTTAAAACTGTTTCACCAGGGTAAACGCAAGGTGAAAAGCATGCCTTTTTGTCTACATAATTCTGGACTAGTGTTTTTTGTCTTCTTTGTTCAAATTCATAACAGGGAAACATTGCTTTGATTGAGTGAAATATTTGTTGAAACCACCACTTACTAAAAGCACCATGAGACCCAACAGCCTTCACTGATTGTGGCATTTAGAGGGAATGCCAGATAACAGAGAAAAACTGTACACAAATGAGTTAGGAGGCAGACCAAGAAGACAGTGAAGGACACTTTGCCACGCCTTCAAATGTAAGGGGCATATAGGGCTAGACCTTTTGTTTTTAAATTATAGACTAGTCAGCACTTGGTGGGTGATATGGTCAGCCTTTACTTCCCATGACTTTTACCTTTGACCCATGTAAGGCTGGATCGACCTGGAAGCTAAGGTTATTTGAGAAAAAAAAAACAAGTTCAGATTTGAACCCAAGATCTTCTTTTCCACAGGTGGGCATCTAGCCACTACACCATGGTGGCTTTTCTAAGAAGACAGTAGGAAGATAATATTATAGGCAGACCTACACATACTTTGAGTCACCAAATTGAGAGAGAATGATCAAATCCAATCAGAAAGCCGCCAAAACTGGCACATGATGATTACCATATTATGGAATGACCAGAGCAAGTGATTATTCTACACCTTAGAACGGGGCACATTCAACTTCGTAGCCGCATGTACGCAAATTGTATTCTTCCCCAACAACACTCGTACTGGACAAGGGAGATATTCTTAAGACCACATATTAACGGTTGTTGACAGGAGACATGAGATTAGATGAAATAACGTGTGTAAGGATGTGTGAACGAGGAATTAGAAGTCGATCCAGCAAGGAAGGACGGATGAGAGGAAAAGAATGTTGTGTGTATAATCAGTGTTCTACAAGGACATTTAGCATCTACACCTTTGGACATATGCTGTGGGAGACAGAGCATCTATGGGTATACCTGGTGTGCTGTGATTTTGATTTTTAAATTAGTAAATCCCCAGCAGGTGGAGCTCCAGAACCTGCGTAGATCTCCCTAAGATCTCCAGTCTCTCCCCTCTGCCACTTGAGAAGAATCTGTGCACAGCGCACAAACTCCCTGTGAAATAAACAAGTTTTTGTTTTCCTGTTGCGTTCACCTGCTGTGAACCCCAGCGTAAAGACCTGGCTGTTCGCCCATTTCTGGATTTTGGCTTTGTTCTACGACTTGAATGTTGCATGTGCATCTGTTTTACAGATCTTGCTTATTTGTTTGCAGACTGTTGGTTCCTTGCCTCTCAGGCAGATGTACTCCAACTTTGAAAGAAGCTCCCAATTAGTAGACTTTTAGGACATGCTTGTTAGGAAGGCAGCGGATCTGTTCTTGTCTTCCCCCACAATGGGGCCTTGAAACACTCATGAGGAAAATAAACAGGTTGATTGATGTTTGTTTCATGAATTCTTACATTTACGATTTTTACCAGAAAAAAGTCAGAGAAATTCCTTCCCTTGAAGAAGAGGAAGCTGCATAATCCAAGCGAACCTGAAGCAAAGGAGGAGATTTCTACATTGGAAGCTGCGTCACTTTCTGATTCTGAAGGTGAGGATGTCAGGCTGGTCTTGTTTCTTCAGAACAGTTTCCAGATGTGTTCTGTTTGTCTATGTCTTCTTCGTGTCTTTGTTAAGGATGTCAAGCTGTTCTTGTTTCTTCACAACAATTTCCAGATGTGTTCTGTTTGTTTATGTCTTCTTCGTGTCTTTGTTAAGGATGTCAAGCTGGTCTTGTTTCTTCACAACAATTTCCAGATGTGTTCTGTTTGTTTATGTCTTCTTCGTGTCTTTGTTAAGGATGTCAAGCTGGTCTTGTTTCTTCACAACAATTTCCAGATGTGTTCTGTTTGTCTATGTCTTCTTCGTGTCTTTGTTAAGGATGTCAAGCTGGTCTTGTTTCTTCACAACAATTTCCAGATGTGTTCTGTTTGTCTATGTCTTCTTCGTGTCTTTGTTAAGGATGTCAAGCTGGTCTTGTTTCTTCACAACAATTTCCAGATGTGTTCTGTTTGTCTATGTCTTCTTCGTGTCTTTGTTAAGGATGTCAAGCTGGTCTTGTTTCTTCACAACAATTTCCAGATGTGTTTCTGTTTGTCTATGTCTTCTTCGTGTCTTTGTTAAGGATGTCAAGCTGGTCTTGTTTCTTCACAACAATTTCCAGATGTGTTCTGTTTGTCTATGTCTTCTTCGTGTCTTTGTTAAGGATGTCAAGCTGGTCTTGTTTCTTCACAACAATTTCCAGATGTGTTCTGTTTGTCTGTCTTCTTCGTGTCTTTGTTAAGGATGTCAAGCTGGTCTTGTTTCTTCACAACAATTTCCAGATGTGTTCTGTTTGTCTATGTCTTCTTCGTGTCTTTGTTAAGGATGTCAAGCTGGTCTTGTTTCTTCACAACAATTTCCAGATGTGTTCTGTTTGTCTATGTCTTCTTCGTGTCTTTGTTAAGGATGTCAAGCTGGTCTTGTTTCTTCACAACAATTTCCAGATGTGTTCTGTTTGTCTATGTCTTCTTCGTGTCTTTGTTAAGGATGTCAAGCTGGTCTTGTTACTTCCCAAAAATTTCTAGAAGTGTTCTGTCTATGTCTCCTTCGTGTCTATGTTAAGGATGTCAAGCTGGTCTGGTTTCTTTCACCAATTTCCAGATGTGTTCGTTTATATCTTCTTCACATCTTTGTTGACATGTAAGGCCACAGATCTGCTGTTATTCTGCCCATAGTATTCCATGATATTTTACACACCTTCATTTACCTCCTCATTGTTCTTCTCCAGGTTAAATAGATTGTCGACGTCTGTTCTTTCAATTCTGCATTTACTAAAGAGCTTATCAAGATGTTGACCTGATCATTCAGAGAATCCAGGATGAGTTCGGCAAAGACACTCTGTGGAGCAGTAGTAGTTTAACAAATAATTCTGATATAAGGGGTTAATATATGAACTGTGTGTTGTGTAGAGGACAGCAAGCATATCATATATCCTTGAAACGACCAGGGAACGTTTGGTCAGTTGGTTGGTACCGAATGAGTTAAGTGGTTGTGCATGCTACCAAGTGTCAATGGTGGACGACTTGCTCCAGTCCCATACAAGGGCTCCCTAGACCGTGACAGCAACGCATCCATTTTTGTGTGTGGGTAACTTCTGTGTTTATGTGATTCATATAATTCATTTCATTTTATAGTTCCTGATTATGTGATTAATGCAGATTTTTTCCTTCCTGTTTATGTGATTTTTGTAATCATTCTTCTTATTTCGTAACTGCTCTTTTTACATGATTGAAAACATTTTAGGTAGCACAGCCATGTTGGTCACAGGCATAAATAAGGGAAGTTATGGCTATAGTGATGGGTATAAGGAGATACTACATTTCTCCTCTCGAGCATCAGTTGGCTGTGTGCTGGTTGTTACAGATCCTCATGCAAGACCCCTGCCACACATCCCCGTTGTGTGCTGCTGTTTATGGCCTAAACCAGTGATTCCCAAACTGTGCGCTGCAGCGCCCCAGGGAGCCGCGGCCTCTTTACAGGGGTGTCGCAAAATATTCGAAGATCCAGAAGTTTTATTTGTTTTGATCTCTTACATACAAATAGTTATACATTTACTTAGGTTAGGGCGCCGTGGAAAAAATTTATTAGAAAAAAGGAGCCGCGACTAAGACAAGTTTGGGAAACACTGGCCTAAACCGAGCTGGCAAAGCATCTCAGAGCTAGTGGCTCCCCCTGAGATGCCATGCCCAGAAATCCTCAGGGTATTACCAGCCAAGAGGTTTTGAAAGAGGCGGGAGCCCGAAGACAACTTATCACAGACATCAGAAGGAGACAGTCATCATTTTTCGGTCGTGTTATGAGAAGAGGGGAAAATAGAACATGTTGTGACCACTGGGAAGATCTGTGGAAGGAGGGATAGAGGTAGACAACGAGAGAAGATACTTGACAGTCTTGTTGCATGGCATGGAGGTGCGTCGGCACACGAACTGATACATGCTGCAGGAGATCGTGGATTATGGAGAGGCGTGATCGCCCACGCCAGTCGGCAAGGCACCTGATGATGATGATTAACAGCCCAAGTCTAGTGCATGGGGGGTAACTTCCATCAAAAACTTATTTGGAACTTGGATCAGGCCCACTGGCCGAATTTCCTACTGTATGATAAACCTTGGTTCAAACGTCTGTCGACAGACTGTCCTGATAAACAGTTGTTTAGGCTCAGATGTCCATCATATGAGTTCAGGCCCTTGTAAAGACTGGGAATTTTTTTTTACATGGGCTTCTGGTAATTTTCCCTGGTCTCTGGGTAGTAAGATTGGATGCCCGTGTGTATTGTTGCGCATGTGAAAAAAAATCTCTTGGCAGTTGGAAATCGAAAAGAGCAGCCTAACGGCGCTGCCCGGGCAAAATTTAAAGTTAAAAATCTACCCAAAATATTTTAGGATTCTCGCCAGTGCTATTGAGTTAGAAGAAGAATGGTTATTCCTTGTGCCATGATGTTGATCTATCATCTAAACCTAAACATGCATATATTGTTTATCACTCATTTTTTCCCAGTTTACAGTGGGAAAAGATTGTTTTTCATCTTATGAAAAATTTTAACCTTGAATTGAAGCTTTCTCTGTTTTGATCACTTTTATATCAGAGCGGTCTGAGCCTCAGTCTCCGCCCCCAGCTGCCTTAGAACCATTAAGGGCTTCCTTTACTGTGCAAGCTCCGCCCATCATCACCATGCAGACACTGATGGAGATCAAGACAGCTCTGACTGCTGATGATGATGGTGACCTGTAAGTTGATGTTTTATCTGTGCTTGGCTCTCATGTTAGCATGCACCTCATCACTGTAGAAGAGGAGGAGACAAGGTAGAAGAGGAGGAGACAGGGTAGAAGAGGAGGAGACAAGGTAGAAGAGGAGGAGACAAGGTAGAAGAGGAGGAGACAGGGTAGAAGAGGAGGGGACAGTGTAGAAGAGGAGGGGACAAGGTAGAAGAGGAGGGGACAAGGTAGAAGAGGAGGGGACATGGTAGAAGAGGAGGGGACATGGTAGAAGAGGAGGGGACAAGGTAGAAGAGGAGGGAACAAGGTAGAAGAAGAGGGAACAAGGTAGAAGAAGAGACAGGGTAGAAGAGGAGGAGACAGGGTAGAAGAGGAGGAGACAGGGTAGAAGAGGAGGAGACAGGGTAGAAGAGGAGGAGACAGGGTAGAAGAGGAGGGGACAGTGTAGAAAAGGAGGGGACAAGGTAGAAGAGGAGGGGACAAGGTAGAAGAGGAGGGGACATGGTAGAAGAGGAGGGGACATGGTAGAAGAGGAGGGGACAAGGTAGAAGAAGAGGGAACAAGGTAGAAGAAGAGACAGGGTAGAAGAGGAAGAGACAATGCCGTCCTTGTAACTGACTCACAGAGCATGTTGAGAAAGGTTGAGACAGGCATGCTCCATGCAGAGTGGCAAGTATCACTTCAAAGGACCCGGTTAGTTAGTATCCTTTGGATATTTTCTTCAGGTCATGCCGGTGTGTTGGGAAATAAACAGGTAGATAGAATTGCCGGTTCTGCACCACTTGGTGGTTAACTGATGTATGACAAGCTGGATGTTGTGAGGGCCTTTTGGGAGCAAGTGAACAGTGCCGAGGAACAGGTAGATCTTTACGGTCTGAGAAGAATGGCACTGCGAGGAGTTACAAGGGGATCTGGCCGGCGCTTGACACTCAGGACGAATATACAATCAGTTACTGTGGCCATTAAAATTGTAACTCTTTGCTTGCTGTTGAAGGTGGGGACGGAGCACTTATGGTTGTGTCCAGAGTGCTGTAATGTAGATTCTTAATTCAACATTCTTTATTTGTGTGTGTGTGTCTGCCATTATTTCTGACCCTGTGGGTTCCAGTATAAAAACACTCTAGTTCCATTCTGGTTGTACCACCACAAAGAATACGAAACCAGATAAGATAGCCAAGGAACTTTTCTTCATATAGCAGGCCTCCTGGCTGCTGAAAAAGCATCAGATTTGGAATTATAATTGAACAACTGGAATTGGAATTATGGTTGTATTACATAATCATATGACAGCTTGTAATTTCTCACCATTGCAGACCCCTTCACATAGCTGTTGTACATGAGAACATGCGTATGGTGGCCAAGTTGATAGCCCTGATGAAGATAGCAGGCAAAGGAGTGGACAAGTTCAATAAACAACAACAGGTTCGAACTTTTTCTGTTTTATCTCTCTTTTTGTGTGTGTGTGACTGATTAAAGTATGAATTGGATTGTTTACATGTTTGTGCATATACGTCAATGGTGGCCAGAGCGCCAGTTGGTAAGATATTAGAGTTAGCCCACTGTGACCTGTGTATATCTTTTCTCTTTTAGGTCTTCTTTGTTAGTCTGTTCTCTATATAGACATAAATTTTTCAATATATAAATATAAATAAATAATAAATTGACACACCGACACACACAAAACATGTGCCGTTGCTGCCCGTATTTGCGTTTTGCTGTTTAGCAGGGAAATCTTTGAGACTGTGCATTTGGGGCCGCGTTTAAAAATTCAACCTTACTGAAAATTCCAATCTGTGACTCCTGCGTTTTTAACCATTCAGCCGATGAGTTAAATCAATGATAATACATATTATAATTATTTCTAAATACATCCTAAAAGATCTGAACCTTAAGGAAAATTCGCTGGTAAACAGGGTCTTGTCTCATAAACTGAAACATTTTGAACAAATCAAGTGCGATGGCTAAAAAAAATAATAGCGGAAGGCAGGGTACTAGGAAAGAGGGACAGGGGGAAGATAGGCACATGATATAAGTGACACTTTGGGGTAGGAAAGTTCATGAGGCCGGAGAGCTGGCGATAGACCAAGTTTTTTTTTTTTTTCGATGCAGGCTATGATAAGGAATCTTTGGACCCATCAACGATGAAAACAGCGGGTAATGGAGAGTAAAAAGCAACAACTAAATTCATAGTCTATTTAAATTACCTTTGATCACTGGCATCATGAAAGCTAATAGTCTGAAATGGTTGGGGCATACTGAGAGAATGAAAGAAGTCAAAACTGTATACACAAGGGAGATAAATGGTGGTAGACCACAAGCAGACCAAGAAGACGATGGAGAGATAATATCCAGACAGACCTGCAAACACTTGGTGTCACCAACTGGAAAGAGAAGGCCAACCAGAGAGATAAATGGAGCCGGGTGATATCTGCGGCAGTGAACCTTGAGGGCTCAGAATGCTGAAGAAAAAGACCATGAAAAGAGCGGCGCTTTGCAAAAGACCTGCTGACATGATAGAAGTTAGTTGCATGTCCGTTACAGGCCCAGCATTTGTTTTTTGGTGTTTCGGTTTTTCTAGGCAAAATTACATCAGTAGTTTGCTGTTGCCTCCTGAATGGTCGGCTCTCGCTGCCAGCGCTGGGCGGTCTGCTGCCAAATCGTTTTAAGCTGGGGCTGCATTACAAAGCACGTTAGCAACAGCTTAGCCACAGATGCCAACACATGACATGACGTTTTGTACATTTTCTAAAAATAAGTTTTAAGACGTCTTTTAACCAAACATTAATAATGAGACCTGGGGTGGTGGGGGGGGGGGGGGGGGGGGCACAATATGTATATCCAATGCTTCTAACCTCTGTAACACTTGTCTCTCTGATTGATTCCAGACCCCTTTGCATCTCGCGGTCAAACTCAACTTTCTGGAAGCTGTTGACATTTTACTGAAATCCAGTGCAAATGTGAACGCTGTAGATTGTACTGGTTCATCTTGCATCCACATGGCTGTCCAAGGGAAATCCACAGAATGTTTGACAATGTTGCTGGAACGGTGCCCAAATGCTGATCTCAATGCACGTAATTTTGATGGTGAGTGAAGCCCTGTTTTAAAATGCAATATTTGTTTCCTAGGGAGTCATAGTGTGCAGTGGCTTGCACGCTTGCCTACTGAGATGATAGCCTTGTGTTCAGATCTCTGTATGGCATATTTTTAACCCTCTCGACCCGCTAACCGAAAACTGACTCCCAAAACAGTAAGTATCTTCACACAAAACAAAGTTTATATAACACTCAATTTGCCTGTAATTTTGTAGCTATGTTCCTAAACAATAAGGGAAATAGTACTAGAACTAACTAACACTGAAGAAAATTGTCTTTTCACTAATGTTTATTCTATTTGTGCCAGCTGACTTTGCTATCATTATACCCTTCGCGTGAGGTACACATTAGACATATCCCTCATCAAAATTTGACTCTATAAATGACTGAAATACGTCTAATTCGTAACTTTATCTATCTAACTTCAGATAAATCGAATAAACACATACTCTATTTAAATTTGAGGCTTCTAAAGCCATAAATCATGTTGGCATGCATATAGAATACTGCTTGGAGGCCATATTCTTTTCAAACAAACGCTTAGTAACTTAGCAAATCTCGTAAATATAATGTATTTTTTGCTTTCAAACCATGTTTCTAAACGAGCACGCCTGATATCAGACACACAAAAACTGGAAAGGAAGTTGAAATTGAGCAGTCTGTGTTTCATAACCGGTCAGTGCTAGATTAAAAACCTTCACTTGTCACGCGTCAATTGGGCCGCACGGTTGTAGCAAATTAGCGTCTGATACGTTCCCTGGAGCTCGAGTTTTATCCGTTGGTCCCGTTCACAACATGACTGTGATATTTGCTCCTTCTGGCCGACACATCCAACTTCTGCAGGCATTTGTTGTCCAGGCTGGTTTTGTGGGACATTTTCGTTTCCTAGTTCTTAAACCCCCCCCCCCCCCCCCCACTTTTTTTTCTCCCTTCCTCAAAACCCCCCTAGGCCTGTGCAGAGCAGCCAAAAGTAGGTAAGGGCTGAAGATGAGCATTCTCCACCATCCAAGAAGGTGTTCATAAATGTAGAGCCAATACATGGTGCTCTGGTACTGGGCTCACCCAAAGAAATCATCACATACAGCTCATGACTGCTTAACCTCACTTCCATACACCTGGCCTGTCATTTATCACTGGCTCCGCCTTCAGAAGCACCATTGGTTTCAAAAGAATCCTTTACTTTTTTTTTCTTTTTTTTATTTCTTCTTTCATCTGAGACTGTAAATGTGTTTATGATATCATGTGCCCTGCCAACCGGAGTAGGTGCTCATGTGTCTCCACAGATCATGATCCCTGGTTACAGCTCTCTTGATGAAATACCTCCATGCCATCATTTCAGCCCATTCAGCATCGTCTCTCTTGGTCTGCCTCCACCCCTATTCCACTGATCTTTCCAATTGTCACGATGTACTCCAATGTCTCTCTTCTCATTATGTGACCAGAGAACAGTGTTTGTCTTGTTCTTATTGTTGTTTTTAGAGATCTACTTCGATTAGCTGTTTACCATATGGCTACGATATTTACGCTTTTTGGCCAACACATCTGATTTCTTGAGGCATTTAGTGCCCAGGTAAGCCTTCCCAGTTATTGTTTTTGAAAACCATATTCTTATTAAAAGTTAGTGTCCAGTAGGGTACCAGGCAGACCCTAATCAAATCTTGTGTTTACCTACAGGTCTGACACCTCTTCATATTGCTGTAGATGACGGAGACCTGCAGCAAGTGGAGACACTGTTGAAGTACAATGCTGACATCGATGTTACGGTAGGTGCCGAAAGCTGTCAGTTGTTTTCTTGATATTATTGATGGATACATGGGCTATTCATACCAATTTTGTGCTATCAATGCCGGTCATGGACAGTCATAGAAAAACATGAACAAGCAGTAGGGCAAAGAAAGAAAGAGGATTATTTGATAACT